GTTATAAACACAATCTATGCCTCCTATTAGTCATTTTTATTTTTTATTATATTTGTTTTTATCTGCTTTGCAGCTCATATTTTATTTGTTCACGATTTTTAATCTTCTAATGTTTCATTTATCTTTCTAAATGTTTCACTGCTTGTTGTTTCCTTTCTAGTCTTGTGAAGCAATTTGTAATTTTATTTTGAAAGGTGCCATTACTCCTCTATTACTTCCCTTCATCCTTCTGTACCATAGTTGTCTCCGACACTGATGGTGAAAATCTTGCAGTTTAGTTCAACACGTCACTGCTTCATCACCTCTTTGGCCTTCTGATATTTGTCAGCATTACAGTGAGCGAGTCACTGCGGTGGATCAATACTAACGCCAACTTCCCGGTATGTCCCCTCCACCCAGCGCTCTCACCCAGCTGTGTGGACGCCTCCACGAGGCTCCAGGGCTGACAGCGGCGCTGTCCAATGATCAGGTCCAGCACGTAGGCCTTCAGACCGTCCTGCAGCACGTCACGTAGAGCCGGACACAGATACTTCAGGATGAGGTGACCCACGTTGGGACTCACCCAGCTGTTCCCGAGCTTTGCCTGGCGGGTTGTAGAGAAGTACAGTCACAGACTCAGAGACGCGAGCTTAACGCTACGACAAAACTGACATGTTACAGCGGGAACATAGAGACAGGGAGACTAGACATGAGACGTGGGACCAGGAAAGGTTCAGAGAAAACATGGGGATAGAGACTGAACGCAGAACGGGGACTGTCAAAATAAAACAGGAAGCACACGACAGGTACAGAGACACGGACTTGATACTGAACAGAGGGAACATGGAGTGAGTGACATGAGAAATGACTGACTGGGGAACATAATAAACACAAGGACAGAACTAAACCTACACCAAACATGAGGGGCACAGGAACCAAAACCCAAAAACTAGGAATCAAACTGGACAGCAAGAAATACAGAACAGAAACGCTGGGTCACCGACCACGGACCGTGACACTGTGGTCCACCTCACATACTGATAAACTCACACGTATTTGCCAGAAATTATATTATAATATTACCACTAACAATAAACGATAGATGTTTGTGGCATTGATGCTCCGAGACAAGATCGTGGGTGACAGTCTGACAGAACGCTGTCACCCTGAATCTAAAGTTACTGAACCAAGCGCTGCTTTAGATGCAGCGTGTTTATTCTGTATTTGTCCCATATACAAATACAGAATAAAAATACAAATAAAATATTACATAACGTTTGCTACAAGTACACAAACAGCTTGCTCAATCTCACCACGTAGTCAGGTGGCGCCATCTGAAGGTGAAACTGGTGTAATTCACCACAAATCACACATTTTGGTTCTTTTGCGCTTCATTGCAGTTGTGATGTGTTTGTGCAAATTCTATACGTATAACTTTGATCAGCCAGTAGAACCAGTGTGTGAGTTCATATTCACAAATGAGCAGTTCGTGCCGTAGTGTGTGGCTGCCTCACCTGTGAGCCCCAGTCTTACCTTTACATCGGGGTCTCTGCTGGTGCCGAAGTGAGCCACGATCAGATCCACTGCAGTGTTCACGGCTTTCACCAGAGCTGACGAGACAAACGGAGCAAAGTGTCTGTAAGTCCATCTTTTTATTTCTGTGTTATTGTGGCAACAGTCACATGGCAGTCATCTGTGTGCTATTTTACAAAATCCCTGCAGCAAGGTGAGGTACCAATATAATAATGAGTCTGAGCTCCAAATCTGCATGTTCGATTTGCTACAGGAGTCAAGTTGTCTTCTAGGGATCTGACTCACATCAGTCTGAAAACAAGACAAACGTTCAAAGATATGAGTCACAAAACGCTGACAAAGAGTGCAATTCAACTCCTACTGAGCAAAAAGCAAATCTTTGTGTCCTGGTTCATCTGTGAAATTGATTTTTATGAAAGTAAGGTGAAAGGGCTTCATCAGTCTGCTCAGCACTCATGTCGC